AAATATAGATCTGTCAAAGTATTTTAAATCATGGAGAGATAGAGGTTATTTAAACAAGATTCTTTGATTTCTCTTCCTAGGGAGAGCTTCCACATTCGAGTGCCACAGGTTACATGGGGATATAATTTAGAGTGACATATGCTTGAATATATAGTAATGCCAGCTTCACTGGATGGGGACTCCTAGTGTAAAGAGCAAACTGTGAGGTCCACTCTGGTGTCAAGGGCCTTTGAGCAGTAAGATGAAAGGTGGAGAGAAACTTGTGTAAACGAGTCTTAGGCTAAAATCTCCTTCCTAGGCTTAATCAAGAAATCAGGAGTTCAACTAACAGAGCTTCCAGAGAGCAATTATTCTTCCTTTCACAGCAAAGAATCCTTCTGAGAAAAAGTCTCATTTTGCTTAATTCATCCCTAGCTTATCTAATGCTGTTGAATGGGAGAAATACTCAAGAGTGGAGCTGGGGAGTCCCATTTTAAAATAAGAAGCTCCCATGACTGTGTCCCATGAATTTCCAAGTGGATATGGATCTCATCTCCAAAACAATTCATAAGCAGGCTTCCTCTCATTGTCAGAATTCTCAGTTTCAGAATGGTCATCTATTCTTTACATCCTACAAAACTCCAGTGCCTGTACAGAAGTTTTTTAGTTTGATGCAGTCCCAATTGTTCGTTTTTGCTTTTGTTTCCCTTGCCTGAGGAGATGCGTTCAGGAAAAAGTTGCTAGTGTTTATGTTTAAGAGATTTTTTGCCTATGTTTTTTTCTAAGAGTTTTATGGTTTCATGACTTACATTCAGGTCTTTAATCCACAATTTCATTCTCTTGCATTTAGTTGTCCAGTTTTGCCAACACCAGTTGTTGAAGAGGCTGTCATTTCCCCATTGTATATCCATGGCTCCTTTACTATATATTAACCGACCATATATGCTTGGGTTTATATCTGGGCTCTCTATTCTGTTGCATTAATCTGTGGGTCTGTTCTTGTGCCAGTACCAAATTGTCTTGATTACTGTGGCTTTGTAGTACAGTTTGAAGTTGGAGGGCATAATTCCCCAGAGCTTTATTCTTCCTTCTCAGGATTGGTATGACTACTGGGGGTCTTTTGTGGTTCCATATGAACTTTAGAACTATTTGCTCTAGTTTGTTGAAGAATGCCGTTGGAATTTTGAAAGGGATTACATTGAATCTGTAGACTGCTTTAGGCAGGATGGTCATTTTGACAATATTAATTCTTGCTATCCACAAGCACGGGATGTATTTCCGTTTATTGGTACCTTCTTTTTTTCTCTGCTGAGTGCCTTGTAGTTTTTATGTTATAAGTCTTTCACTTCCTTGGTTAGGTTTATTCTTAGGTATTTTATTCTTTTTAATGCAATAGAACAAATAAGTTTAACAGAGAAGATCAACAAAGCCATAGTTCTTGAAAGACTAAAACTCACATAAGACAGATGAATAAAGGAACAAAAATGAGACAGTCTGAAATAAATCCCATTTCTCCAAAAATGTGGTTTCAAGAAAAGCAATAAAAGGTGAGAGAACTGTATAGTAAAGTAGGAAAATTTTACAGATAGCATTGTAATGTGTGAGCTTTGATTTGAGTTCTAGGTTTAGGAGAGAAAAAGACCTCTAACGGACCTTTGAGAAATTTGGGGTAATTCCAGTATGAATTGTGTATTACATAGTAGTATTGATACTAAATCTTGAGTGTTGATAAATGTATTATAGTCATGAAGGAGAAAGTCATTGTTCTTACGAGATAAATGCTGAGAATTTTTGGGCTTCAGTGTCCTTATGTCTGCAGCTTTGGTTCAGGTAGTTCATGTCCATCCAGCTGTATGAGAGGGAAGTATGTCAAAATAGTAGTGATTGGTGAGTCTTGGTGATGGGTGTATGACTGTTCATTGTTCTGTTCTTGCACTTTCTATGCATATTTGAAGTACTGCAAAATTAAATGTGTGGGAAAAATGAACACTGTATTGTCACTGCAAGTGTTCAGCATGAGCAAATACTACTGGGCAAGAAAGAACAAAAATGTGTAAATATGAGAAAGGAAGAGACAAAATTCTCATTTTCAAGCAGTTTGGGGCCTACTTTAAAAAGCCATGAGAATCAATTGAAAATATCTTGACAGGTTACAATTTATCTAATAAAATAATAGCTCTGGGACCAGATAGTTTTAATGGCTGTTACGTAATGTGAATATTCTAAATGCCATTGAACTGTACATTTTAAAATGGTGAAAATGGCTAGTTGTATATTGTGTGGATTTTACCACACAGCACACACACAAACACACAAGGTCTGTGTAGAATGCACATGTAAGCACACAAGAAAGATTTGCATCTTAACATTTAATAGGACAAGTAACTACCTTTCAGCAATGCATTCTTTAATAGCAGAGGATCAGCATATAGTAAAGACTCCTTATTTTGCCACTGCACACGTTGTAAAAGAAATTATTATGCTCTCAGGCATATATTATTAGATACTTTTTCAAAATATGTAGATTTTTGATTTTGGAAATAGACTTACAAGATTATAGTACAGAATCAAAACCAAAAGGAACGTTGAGCAATCATAGTTCTTGCTGATTGCTTTATGCATCCCATCTTAGAAGAATGAGACACTTAAATTTAATACCCAGAAATGCATATTATATTGATGAGTGGCTTGTAGCTTTGAGGGTGATTAATAAAATAATACTGCATTTTAAAGTGATACTGCATTTTAGGAAATGTTGCTAACAGAAACAGTAAAAGGAAGGCTTGAAAGTTTAAGAGCCTGTTGGGCACTTAAAAAAAAAGATCTCTTAAAAACTCCAATCTCAGATACTTCAGTGTGGAATTATATTAAAGCCTGTACGAACTGCTGAGAGCTGCTTAAAATGGATACATACAGTATCATGTCCTAAAACCAACAAGTTCTTGTAAATCATCAATAACCCTTGAGCAAATATAATTTAAAAAGAATATAATTCACAATAACAACAGAAGCCTTATTTAAGCACACAGGAATGGGAAAGTCTATAGAAAGAAAATCTTAAAAATATGACCGGACCTTGGGATGGGGGAGGGTTGATGTTATGAAGGGAATAGTCTAAAGGAGAGAAAATGTCTATTGAACTCCTGAATCAGAGGACTCAATGTTGTAAAGATGTCAGATCTCTCCAAATTGAGGCATAAAGTCTGTGTATTCACATTTGAAATACCAATTGCTTTGTTTTAATGGAACTTAGCATGCCATCAAGTTTATTTCAAAGAGAAAAACACAAATAGCCAAAACTAAACAAATGAATAAAACCCACAACTTTTTTTTGCCATGCTATGTATTTAAAAATGCTTTAAAGGTTTTTTGTAGAAAACAGTATGGTGTGAAGTAGGAATAGACCTCAGTGAGGTAAAAGCAACAAACCACTAGTACATCTGGGAATTTGATCTTAGAATACAGGTGATGGGAAGGAAAATTGTTCTTCCATAGACATTCAGGTTAAAATTCTTAAAGTATTTTGTGTAGGCAAGGTTGCAGATTTTACTGTGATGTTTTAATTGATGAGAGTATCCAATTACTAATATAACTTCAGTTATTTCTTTTAGTGGGATATTCTTGAAAACTCAGTTTCAGTCCATATTTTGGAACATAACACTCAGATGTAAATAATCAGTTCTAACACTTAAAAAAAAAACCCTTCATTTTGTTTACTTGTAGGGAAGGAAGGAGCTTGGAAGAAGCTTCTTTAAGAAGGGAAGAAGCTCCCTTACAAAGTATATATATATAACCTTGGAAAAAAATCGTGCAACAGGGATAATAAGTGATATGACCTTGGGATGTTGTAATGATATATAAGTATGTAAATCATCGTAACAAAAGTTTCTTCCCAACTCTTCCTTTTCTGTTAATTAATGGCAGTATGGTCTTCATTTGCTAAACTCCTTTGTCTTGAATGTGTCCTGAGGAGGAGGTCCGTGTTGCTTCTTCCTTCATGGCTTTACTCCCTATTCTGGGAGAAGTCAGAGCGTACTGCCCTGCATTACAGTTAGATAGATTGGATTGATTCTTGGCTCTTTGTTCCGTACGGCTGTCAAACCTTTGGGTTGCCTTTGGTGTTTTTTTTTTTTTATTTTTTTTTTTTTACTTGAGAACTACAGTTACCTCTTGACTTGTTACTGGGTCATCATCTTTGCATAAAACACATTTCCCCACAACTTGCAAAAATGAAGGCTTAAGTCACACAGCTCTTTCTGTTACATACCATATTAATACTCTTACACTTTTGTGTTTCTCTTCATATTGTTCCTTTGCCTTGTGTGTTTTTCTGTTTTCTTTGTATTTTCCTCTCCATCTTTTAAGCTGCCTTGGATGTCTCTGGACCAAATTGATTGTCCTTTCTCTAGCTTGTTTGTGTAACACAGTTGGTACTTCATTAAATACAAATGTTAGCCCTGTTCTGAGGTTGGAATATAATTCTTGTGTTTTGTTATAATTCTTCTATGGCTTTTTTTTAAGTGTACTACTGACCTACTAGGGATTTATCCTGGTGCACAGTCTGAAAAATAGATTCTGGATTGCTGCACAGTTGTTTTCTTAGCATTTATGCAGCAGTCTGTTGTTTCCTCAGCTGGCTTGAGGTAGTGTCTTAAGTCTTGTATTAAGTCCCTTTTGGACTGTATACTTTCTCCATTGGTCATGCAGTCAGTGTACCAATGTGCTACATGGTTTTAACTGTTGGCTTTGTGATACTCTTATATTGATAGGACTAGATCTTCAATTTCTCTTTATAAAAGTTTTTCCTGCTATTTATTAGGTTTGAAAGTAATCTTTTGAGATCACATTACATTTGTAAATTACAGGTAGACTTTCCTTTTTTTAGAGGTCACAACTTTTCACTACAGTAGTAGCACCTATATTTTGAATTTCTTGTGTCTGAGTGTCAGTTAACTTTGAAAAACTGTTAAACAATTTCCATAGAAGCTCAGGAAACTGAATTGTATGTTACTGTTTTTTAGTTTAGCCCAATGGCCAAAGGCTCTCAAAGATACATGGTTTCTACTGGTGCTGACGGGACAGTTTGTTTCTGGCAATGGGATTTAGAATCCCTGAAATTTAGGTAAGAGACTAATCATGTAGTGAGTTTCCCTTTTTAATGTTGTGATTTTAAAGTCTAATGAAATGAAGTCTGATTGTAAAGAGAAACTATGTACTGTGGTTGCCTTTTTACTTTTGAACTTAATTATAATTATATACAGCATATGTGCCATATTGACTGTCCACTGCTTACAAGTAAATATAGTTGGGTATGTAAAAGAAGCATAGTTCTATATTAGTGGACACATTTTTATGGAAAAGAAAGTGAGTGTGTATATGAAACATTTTGAAAACTGTTAGGAATGTATAATTGAGAGAATCAAAGACCTGTTTGTATACGGCTTTGCTGTGCAGCTCAGTGCTCACTAGCCACACATGACTGTTGGGCTCTCCAGATGGGGGAGTGCAGTTGAAGAACTGGAAATCATTTAAATTTAGATACTGGTACATTTAGATTTCAGGTATTAACAAACGTGTAAGCATATTTCAAACAACTTAAGTGTGTGAGTTTAATTTTTCAACTATAAGTTTTATGAAATCAATATAGATAACATTTTTATCAAAACTGTTCAGACCAAGATGTGTTATAAGTAAGCATTCAGTACACTCTGGGAGATTTAAAATATTTAATAGGAAAGAAAGAATTCAAAGTTCTCATTAAAGTCATATTATTGATATATTTTGGATATACAGGGGTAAATAAAACTTATTTTATCTTTTTACTTTTAACGTGGCTACTAAAACATTTAATGTTAATGTGTAGCTTGCATCCCATTTTTTTTGGGCAGTGCTCCACTCTGGTGGCCATCAACCCTGCTCTGCAGCCTCGGTGACAGGTCACTTGGCTTCTGAGCTTTAGTTACCTCAGTACAGGACAGGGGTTAGCAGGGCTGCTCTTTCTTATAGTAGGATCTGTATGAAGATGAGGATTGGACAGTCTTCTAAAATATATCTGGCTGTAATAGCGTATGTGGAAATATTTGGTATATTATGAGGTACTTTAGAAACAAGATTAAAATATTTAAATATGCTAGATTAAAACCAATCTTTAAACCATGTTAATGTATTAAACTAATGCATTTTAAAATACCTTCTTTTAAAGTCCACGGCCCCTGAAGTTTACTGAGAAGCCTAGACCAGGCGTTCAAATGCTTTGTTCTTCGTTTAGTGTTGGTAAGATATCTTTAGTAATTTTTCCTTGTTTTTATTTTCATATTTGTTGGATGACCACATTATTGCCAAAAACCTTTATCAGATAGATGGTAAATAACCTGTTTGTTTATTTAAGTTTAATCTGTGACATACTCATTTGGAGAGCCTTGTCTTTTATTCCCCTATTCTGCCTTTCTCTAATTTCTAATAGTAATTAGAGTCAGTGGTAAAAGAGATGGTCAGCAAAAATAGGCTCCAGCTGTCCACAGGAGCGATTCCTTTGCCATGTGTGTATGATTTACCAAAATGGTGATTTTTTTTTAACAGGCTAAACTGCGTATTTTGGATAGTTTAAATCTGTTTTCCACACATCTTGATGAAATTATTCCCCATTTTCTTTCTGTGTACAGTGACCATGTGTGGTAAACTTTTTTTTTTTTTTAGGAGAGGTCAAAGGGTTTTCTCCCATAAAAGTCTGAAAACTTCAACCATCTTTAGAGCACTGGCACTTAAAGGGCTTATTCCACAGCTAATAAAGCAGAGGGAGATAATGAACGCTGGCAGATTAAGTTGCTTTTTTTAATTAAAGCCCCATCTGATGTGAACATGGTTTTTTTTTTTCACTACCAAACAATTCTACAACACCAGCTGTGTGTCCTATAATTCAACTCAATTCTGACACTGTCTACCTAGAAAATAGTGTGAAATTCCGCAGGTTAAGGGCTGAGCCCTACAGAGACAGCTCCACCCCACACTCCCCAACACACCCTCCCAGCCATACTTCAGACCATGTTGTCACCTGTGCTTCTGGCTGACTGGCTATATAGATCAGAGGTTCCCACAAACCCTTCCTTGGTTTGATTAATTAGCAAAGAGCACCTCACAGAACTCAGACATTATAGTTGCTAGATTTTCAGCTTATAAAAAGTTGTAATTCACGAATAGCCAGATGGAAGAGATGCATAGGATAAAGTATGTGGGAAGGGGCACTGTCTGGGTGTACCACTCTCCCCTAATCTGTGTTCACCAACCTGGAAGCTTTCTGAACCCCTGTCATTTTGGGTGTTCATGGAGGCTCTGTTACATGGGCATGGTTGATTATTAATTCACTGGCCATGACTGTTTTTCCCCTCTTTTCCTCCTCTTTTCCCCTCCCCAGAGTTTAGGGGGGTAGGCCTGAGGTTCTCAAATGACATGGTAGTTTTCCTGGTAGTCAACACCTGTTCCCCCCACCAAAGTAATTCTTTGACCTAAACTCTGGTACAGTTGAAATGGGTTGGTTAGGAATATCAAGACACCTTTATCACTTGTATCACATAGGAAATTCCAGTGGGATTTGGGGCTCTGTACTAGAAACAGGGATTTTGACCAAATATATATTCTTATTAAATCAGACCATCACACTGTAGTATATTAATTTTGAAAGGTCTTCATGTAGTGAGTCAAGAAATGGATCTATGGAGATAAATTTAGTTTTGGAATAAAATCTTGCTTAATTTAATATAGAAGTTGGGTTTGCTCAGATATTTGTTGACAAATGAGTTTTAAGTCTTAACATTTTTATTACAGGTGGTATGTTTTTAGCCACAGGTAGTACTGATCATGTAATCAGAATGTATTTTTTGGGTTTTGAAGCACCTGAAAAAATAGCAGAACTTGAAAGCCACACTGTAAGTATTCACATTCTGACATTCTGTACATTAGTTGTTAATAATATTCCTTTTGGTACATAGTCAAATATTGCTAGTGGAAATTATTGGTCCTAATTTAAATGTAGGAGGAATTGCATTTAAAGGTGAAGGATATTAATGACGTCTCAGTACCTGACAGTGCTGATATTTTGCAGTAGTTATTTCAGCTTTGTGTGCAAAATCTTGACGTTGACAGTTTATCTCGATGGGTTAGGTGGACCTGCTCATTTTAACCGTGCTCATGAAATCAGAATGCTCTTTTATTGATGTGTAGTTAGGTAGATAACTCTCAGTATTCTAGAATACTGGTCAGTGGTCAGACCATCTTTTCTCCCATAGGAAATTCTGTAGGGTTAGGTAAACATAGATTCAAATCACATTAAAAGAACGAAACCTTCTTTTTCTTTTTTTTGCACATAAATAATCATCAAAGTGAGTATGCCTTATTTTCAGCTGCTTAAACCTGTATATTTTGATCACTTTCCACACATACCAATTTTTATATGGATGTAGTAATTAATTGTAAATACAGCTTTTAATTTTAGAAGGCTTTTTTTTACTGTGTGAATCTCCCTCTGTGAGATCAGTTATGTGTTAGTCTTACTAAATTCATGGATTTTTTGCAAGTAAATGTCAGTACATGTTGGAAGCAGCACAACTGCAAATCTCTTGCTTTAAACCAGATGTGCTTCCATCCATCAAACAGTTTGTTTACAAACTAAGTAGATTATCACTTTCATGTTTTTTCCCCTTTAGGATAAAGTTGATAGTATCCAATTTTGTAACAATGGTGATCGGTAAGTAAGCCTGTGTCTGTGTTTCTTAAGTGTGTTTTTAAGCAGATGTATTCTGTGCTTCCTATTATATCACTTTGTATATTGCAGGTGCTTACTAGTAAATATATTACTTAAATGAAAAGTCTGGGGTGGGGAGGAGACACATGAAAGTAAGGTTTTAGAATTGTAGTTTCTGCTGGCAGTTTCAGCTGGCTCCTATGACCAAAAATATCGTTCTCCTTTAGATCATTGGCTAAATGTTTGATTTATAGGAAAAGTAAGTGCAAGGATAATGGATTACCTTATGTTTGAGAGTAAAAAAAAAAATCTTTTCTAATCAACGACAGTGATTGATATATCCCTCAAGAAAAAGTATCATGTAAATTATATCCTCCTTTGTGGTTCCCAAAGACTTTCAAGTGCCTTTCCTAAACTGCATTTTTTATTTAATGCTTTGCTTTGTTAAAAGATTGATTTATGTTTACAGTGGCCAGCATGAGTTAATTTGAACTAAGAATGAATATGCTAATAATGGAGTTTTTGCTCTTAACTAATTTACCCGTACATTTAATTCTTCCTGGTTTTTTTTGTCCTTCTCCAGGTATTTGTACATTGTCTTCTCAAAACTCAATCTATTTGACAAGCTATTGATAGAGTTTGAAATGTGCTTTACTTCATAGGGCCAGGAACAATCATAGAAAATGAGAATTTTCTCTTTCTGATATCCCCTAAATCCCTGTCTTTTAAATTAACACCTGTAGATTTACCTGCAGTCAAGATAGTTACATTAAATATTTTTTTGCTTGGGATTTTAACTGTAGCCCTAGGTGGCACAAATGTGACTGTAAAATCTTTCTCTGGATATTTTAAGGTTCTTAAGTGGTAGCAGAGATGGAACAGCAAGGATTTGGAGATTTGAGCAGTTGGAATGGAGAAGCATTTTATTGGATATGGCTACCAGAATCTCAGGGTAAGTTGAAGTTTGTTGTATAAGTAGGTGCATCCTAAGTACTTGGTGTCTCTTTCCCTGGTTGGCTGATTGCTTTGTTGAGGGGATTGGAGTCACCTTCCGTTATTAGCTACCATCTAAGTGAACGCCTGCCTTCTGGGCCTCTGATATACAGATACTTAAATCCTATGTGCCCAAAACAATTTATCCTTAGATATATGTAGGAAAGGACACGTACTTGTTCTACTGTTTCTTCTTAAAGCATTGAGTTCCTCTTAGGGTGTTTGATTTAAAACCACATACAGTTTTTTAAAAATTATAAAAATAAACTCAAGTATATCATGTATGGAAATTTTGCTTTTCTGAAGAGAGGATTTTTGGAATTTTTAAAAAGTTGCTTTTAGCTGTCTGATGAATAAACTAAGCAAACACTTTGTTGTTAAGACCAAAAAAAATTGGGTTCCAGTGATAGTGGCTTTTTTGGCTTGCTTAAATTTGGCTTGTAAAATAGCTTTGAAGCCAAGTTTGTCCAACTGTCCCTCTTCTCCAGCATGGCAAAGAACATATTTGAGCATCTTTGAGGTAAGTTTAGCACTCCCATGTTAGATACTACACATTTGAAATATCTTGCTTTTTTTGGTTTGTATTTGTTGGGAGGCAGTAGAGGTGGTTGAAAGAATACATGTTTTGGAGTCAGACCTTTGCTCAAGTGCAATTCAAACTGTTATATAACTATAAATTTTAAGAACAGCATTTAATCTCTTTCACCTACCTGCCTTTAAATATTGGGAATTTTAAATGATTTGACAGAAATCTCTGGCACACTTCCTGGTCTTAGTAAGCATGTTGGTGTTCTGACCAGTGTTTGTGAGAAGTGTTACACATTTTGCCTTTTGGAAATCCTCATGTCTGCTTGATTTTTAATAGTTGTAGGGGAAATTAACTCGTATTCTGCAGTAGTTCTAGCAATTGTGTTAGATTTCAAAATAAATTTGATACTAGTATTTTTGTGGAATGATCCATTTTAGAGAATGGCTTGAATATATATGAAGTATCTTTGTTCACAAATTAAATCTTTACTATTATTTCAAAATGTCAACATCTGTATATTCAGAAGCATTATAGTGTGACAGTGAACACTGTCAATACTTGACCAATTGAAATGATGAAGGAGGAATGTGAGTGAAGATAATTTGAGACTGTATTCTCTGTGAGCAGTTACTTTATTAGGCAAATAGGAACATCAGTCTAAAAACTTGAATACAGTTTTTAAAATGAGACTCAAAAGTGCTTATTAGTTTTCTTGCTGTCATACTGTCTTCATAGAGAGAAATTTTCCAATGATTTCTCCCAGGGTGGGAATATTCTTTTGTCATTTAAAGTTTTACCTCTTTAAAATCTTATTTTTTAAAAATTTCATTAAGGTAACACTGGTATGTAATCTTATGCTCAGGTTCACATGTGCAACATTGTGGTTACTACATTCCCCACTGTTATCAAGTCCCCACCACATACCCCATTATAGTCATAGTCCATCAACATAGTAAGACGCTATAGAGTCACTACTTGTCTTCTCTGGCTATGCTTCCTTCCCTATGCTACCCCCCCTTTTATCTCCTGCCCTTCCCTTCCCACCCCTCCTCCCCAGCCCCTTTCCCTTTGGTAATCGTTAGTCCATTCTTGGCTTCTGTGAGTCTGCTGCTGTTTTGTACTTCAGTTTTTGCTTTGTTGTTATACTCCCTCTTTCAAATCTTGTAGAATTTTCTGTATGTAAGAATTAAGAGATACATTTGTCTTAGTGTATAAACCTGGCTGTTCAACTAGATGAAATGCATTAACTGTTATATAGCACCTATTCCCTAGTCTTAACAGCTGATGTATTTAATTAAAATATTTGTTTCATCATGTTTAGAGTTTCTTAGAATATGTTGTAGGATTTCAGAAGCACTTGCACTTTTCTCTACCCTCTCTGTGTTCTGACTGCTGAATTTTACAGAGACTTTCCCTATCACTGTCAGAACGGCTGCAAAACACTGTAGACATGTGTACCCAACACCATTCTTGCCATGGGGCCCATAGGAACAGTCTGAGGGAATATAAAGAGATGCATACAGTCTTGTTCAACAAATTGAGTGTTGGGCATTTTTCTAAAGATTGGGGATAGGAAGATGAATTACCTTCTTTCTGTCTGCCTAAAATTTGTAATTATCTTCTGTGGAGAAGAGTTGAAATTATTACTAGTACGGGTTGGAGTCAGGAAGAAAGTGAGTAATACAAAAGAGGGTAGAAGCAGCTTTGCTTTTATGTGTAGTGCTGGTGACCAAAAATCTGCCTTTAGTCAGTCTCTGAATTGCTTCTATATCATCCCTTTCCTGCTGCGTTTTTTCCTAGTCTGTTAATAGGTAACCTGGTATGAGTCAGATGTCTTGAACCCCTAATAGAGTTGACAACATAAGAATGTGAACTGGATTATTAATTTTATTGTATTTTATTGTATAGTTGATAAACAGCATTGGTCAGATTAGGTATTTTTCTGTTAATGTGAGATTGTATACACTGTGTAGCCTCACATTATATGTATGTTTTTTTCTTAGGGACTTATTGGAAGAAGAAAGGTTTATGAAACCTAAAGTCACAATGATAGCTTGGAATCAGAATGATAGCATTGTTGTCACTGCTGTGAATGATCACGTCCTCAAAGTGTGGAACTCTTACACTGGACAATTGCTTCATAACTTATTGGTAGGTAGTTTTTTATACATTATAACAAGTAAAGATTTTTTTGAAATGTAGTGCTATTTTTGAAGTTATAAAATGAATATATTTTTAAAACCAATGAATAAAAATTTGTATATACACTAATGTATAAATTATTAATACTACCATTAATAAATTTTTAAAGCCCTTATACATTATGACAATATGGATTTTTAATTTTAAATATGTCTTGCAAACCCTCTTTAACTATATGACTTTGTTGAATAAAGGGACATGCTGATGAAGTGTTTGTTTTGGAGACACATCCCTTTGATGCTAGAATTATGTTATCTGCAGGACATGATGGCAGCATATTTATATGGGATATTACAAAAGGCACCAAGGTGAAACATTATTTTAATATGGTAAGTGAAATGAGGTGTATGTTCATGCACGCGTGCATTTGTTTCAAGTATTTGGATTATATAGTTAAGCCAGAGACTGATCAGTGAGTGTTGGCAGTTTATATTTCTACAAGTCAGGGTCCTTGGAGCCCAATAAATATCTGACAACTGTACATACATACCTATATGAAATTCTCAGTACAACTGATTCACATGGGAGAGAGATTTTCAAAAGTTACTTATTTACCTTTATATGTGTGAATGTGTGTCCATGTCTGTGTTTAAATTAGCAAAATTATGGTAATTATACACAACTCTATCACCATTTATATTTATTAAAATATTTGATAATAAAAATATGAAAAATAATATTCAGTAAAGTCATATAAGGACTCAGACTTCATTGGGTTTTTCCAGACTCTTCTTTTTTGCACATGTATATTCTAAAACCAAATTAGGCTCCTACTGCATAATTTTAGAATTTCTTAGACATAAGCACAATACTGTTAGCCAAATCAGCAAATGTAACATTGATAAAGTAGTGTCATTTAATTTACATTCAAATTTTGTTAATTGTCCTGATAATGTCTTTATAGTTACATTTTCCTCCTTGGATTCGGTCTGTCGGGATCATGCATTGTGCTAAGTGGTTATATATCTCTAGCTTTCTTTAATCTTCAACAATCGTTCCTCCTTTGTTTCTTGCCCTTTAACTTTTTTGATGAGTGTAGGCAAGTAATGTTACAGAACATCTGTTTTGTCTGATGTTTCTTTATGATTGAATTGTTGTACATTTTGTTTTTGATGGAATGCAACATAAATGATACTATGTCCTCCATGTATTATATTAGTATTTACATGTTATTTATTTGTCCCACTGTTGGTGATGACTTAAAGTATTGGGTTAAGGTAGCATCTGCCAGATTTCCCCATTATAAAATAATCATTTTTCCTCTTTGTAATTACTAATCTAAGTTTTTCGGGAGCTACTTTTGAGACCATGTAAATATCCTGTTCTTCATTTAAACTTTCACAATATTAGTATCCGTTGAAAATTTTCTAATGTCATTCATATTAGTTGGCATTCTCCAAATTCATAATCTTTTTTCATTTTATATGAAGAATCTTTTTCAAACTTCTAAATATTTAAGATTTCGCAAATACATTTTTGACTAATTTCATCCTTTCTCAGGAGAATGTTACTTTCATAGTTAATTTAACCATTTTTGGGTATTTAAGTGTTTTCAAAATGCAGAGCAGTAACACTTTGAATATATCCTTGTATGGCTGTTTGTGTAGATTTACGATTATTTCCTTAGGATACATTCTGAGGGAATTATTATGTTGCTAAGGCTTTTAATTGACATATATATTTTGTATGTAAGTGGTACTTTTTGTAAAATTACCACTTTATATTGCATATAATTCAAAGCGTAGTTTTGGAGACAGTAGCAGCATATAGATGAGAGGTTCTTACACCTTTGGTTGAAGGCCATCTTAGTCCATGTGTTCCATGTTTCTAAAATGCAATATTTTATTTACTAACATTAAGTGCACTTAAACAACTTAAGTACCATGACTGGATTGTCAAATACATCATAAGGCATCTCTGAAAGTTGCATCTGTACATGTTCAAATTACAAAGATTAAAAAGATCTAAGCAGCCTTGAATAATTGTTTTATGGTCTTAAAATTCACAGATACAGCCATCATCTTAACTATCACTTAAAACAAGTTCATCAAAACAGAAAACTTCATTAATTCAGGCTTTAAGAAGAATATAAGTTAAACAACCTCTAAGCCGAAGAATAATCTGAAAAAAGTGTCAAATGGGCAACAAAGATCTTATTTCCAATCAGACATCCAAAATTGGCAGTGGCCTTTGTATACTGAGTTCTTATCTTTGCTGCTCAGCTGAGAGGCTCCTAATTCTCTAATGCTAGACAGATGACATAGGGTTGTAAGTTACTAACAGAGTGGTATTTCATGAAATACATGTTGCATTTTGTCAGGAATCATTGTGTAGGACTTTTCAAACTACAGGTGAAACCTAGTCTGTCTTGCTCTGCTTAGACAGGTTTGCCACTCAAGAAAACTTCTTTCTTAGCAGGTACCCTTAGCGAAACTTGTGGTGTGGTTAGGTCTATGTTTATGATGGGTATAGCTGCCATCGTCTTTGACTTGTCAGCCAAGGGCTCCTGCCTCTTCTCTGCTTGAACGGGGAAGTCCCAGAGCAGGGCTGTGAGGTGATACTGGTGGGGCTGTAGTGGAGGTGGCTTGTCAAAGGCGAGTGAGTCTGTGTTCTGTGTTTAACAAGGAATTGGAGGAAAATCTGTTAAGCGTTGTTTTTTCCTTTTACTGTTATGAGAGAATATAAATATGTGTACATATTACCTTATTCAGTGCCCTAAATATCCCAGGAAGTTAATTTTTTTAAGCTTGTTAATCGGTAGCCATTCATGTACAGTATTGCAGTAGTGAAGTGTCACTTTCCAAGCAGGTATTTGGGCATGTGTGAGTTTTGGCAGTTAGTGGGTGGCTGGTTTATTTTTCCCATACTGATCAGACTTGTCCTAAAGTTTAGTTACTGGAAAGTTACAGGTTCAGACAACAAATAAGCATTGCTTTACTCTGTTGAGAAAACCAGACAACTCATTTAACTATAAATTGATAATGCTAAACTAATAAAATTTACAGTTAGAAAGCAAGAATAAAACCATTTAAAAGTTATGTGTGTCGGCAGTGTTGATTGTGCACCTAGAGCGTCCTTCCAGAAGTTTATGCCCTTTTGAAATGAGGTAGGTGCAGATGTTAGCATATGCACCCTTGGGACTTTATAGCATTACACAGTCTGCATGGTGGTCAATTATCTTAAGGAAAGTGTTAGTTTCAGAGAAGTGTTATTTTAGTTGATGAATACCAAACTTCATTAATCTTTATTAAGTTACCTGTAGGTTATTAATTGGTAGCCTTTTGTTATATATTAAAATAGTAATTTATGAAATTGCTTGTTTACTTCTAAGAAGTAAAGGAAGCCTTTACTTTGGATTGGCTTATGATGTTTTATTTGATCATTTTGAGGACCATTTCTAGGTTAGTAGTATCTGAAACGAATTTTTTTTCTGAGAATATTAGCTGACATGTTTTAATGCAAAATTTATTTTTAACAATTTTTCCAGAAGTCATATTGTTGCTGTATGAACTGCTGACATGAAAACAGTTGACACAACAGAAGCACCTGCATAGAATTGGTCATGACCTTTTTCTGTGTTTTCTAGATTGAAGGACAAGGGCATGGAGCTGTATTTGACTGTAAGTTTTCACAGGATGGACAGCATTTTGCCTGTACAGATTCTCATGGGCACCTGCTGATATTTGGTTTTGGTTGCAGCAAACCATATGAAAAGGTTAGTTTCAATACTTAAAGCACATAAAATAAGTAGTTGGTGAAGGATATTTTGAAAATGGGTTGCATGCATTGATTTGACTACCTTGTTTTTTCTATTTTAATTAACTGTTTAATATTTGTTTTCTGGAGCATACAGAAACTTCATAATGTCAATCTGTCAACTTCCCTTCTAGATTCCTGATCAGATGTTCTTCCACACTGACTATCGACCACTGATTAGAGATTCTAATAATTATGTCTTAGATGAGCAAACGCAGCAGGCTCCTCACCTTATGCCTCCACCATTCTTGGTAGATGTAGATGGAAATCCTCACCCAACTAAGTATCAGAGATTAGTGCCAGGCCGAGAAAATTCTGCAGATGAGCACTTGGTTCCACAGCTAGGCTATGTCGCAACAAGTAAGTGCACAAAAGTATTTTTGTTCCTTTTTAAAAATTATTTATTTGGAAAATGTAAAGAGTAATATAAAGAACTCCTGTACTTTAAGGTTCACCAGTTGTTAATATTCTGCAGTATTTGTTTTATTATTTTATTTCTACATACATATTGTTTTGAACCATTTGAAAGTTAAGTTCTGGACTACATGTCTTTTTTCCCCTAAGTACTTCGTTTTCTAAGAAGAAAGATACCCTCTCCTGTGATCATAAACAGTTACCAAGATGAGGACATCTAATATGTACTTACGTTGTCAAATCTCTAGTCTGTACTTAAATTTTGTCTGTTACTCTAATAATGCCTTTTATAGCTTTTTTTCTCACCGATGTAGATTTCATTTTGGGACTGCACATTAAATTTAGTTGTCACTGATTAAGGTCATGCATTTGACAGAATGCAGTACACAGGGTGATGCAGCCTTCCTGAAGCATCGCAGCAGGATGCTTGTGATTGCATTTTGTCCAGTTGTTGGTAATTTTGTCTTTGAACACTTGGTTAAGGTGATGTCTGCTTAGTTTGTCCACTGTAAAGTTATTTTTCTTTTGTAATTACTAAGTAATTTGTGGGAAGACACAATGTAAATAATCTGTTCCTCATCAAACTACCTACAAGTTTTAAGATTGAAACACTGGTGATTTTAGCCTGAATCAGCCGTTAACTATGAAGGTGGCAAAGCGGTTATTTTCTGATTCTACATTCATTTTGTTAGTTTTCCTTTCATTTATGTATTTAGTTGGTTAAGTTTTAGTACTTAGGGGATTGTTAAGTAGGGGGTTATAATCTTTTATTGTCATTATTTTGTTGCTCATATTATCCTTAGATTTGACTGTGAGAGCCTCTTCAAGCTGAGCAGTGTGTCCTTTCCCAAGTCTCTGTCATTCCTGAAGCACTTCCTTATTACTTTCTGGCACAAGATGTATGTTGCCTGTCCTAGCCAAGTAAAAGAGTTTTTTTATTGTTTATTTTTGCATTTGTTCATAGCATATTTCTGACTGCAAAGAAAGAAAATGTGCTTCTGTTTTGTTCAGCTGAGGATAAATTTACCGAAACTAAATCACCAGTTATTCTTAAGGTTAAAGCTTAATGTAAAGCCCTATATACTTACTGTTTCAGATATTTATTTTTTAATAGAAGTATATTTTATATATAACAAAACACCAATTTTGAGTGTACAAATTCAAATGAACTTTGACAAGTATTAAGCAGTATGTAACCACCACCACCATAATCATAATATAGAATATAGAATATAGAATATAGAATATAGAATATAGAATATAGAATATAGTGCCCCAAAAAGTTCTCTTGGGCCTGTTTGGAGCTAGCCCTCTTCCTTCTTCTGGCCCCTTGTAATGACTGTTCTGTTTTCTTCACCTTTGTATAAATGGAATTGTACACTATGTAGTCTTTTCTGTCTGGCTTCTTAAACTGAGCATGGTGCTTTTGATACTCATTCCTGTTGGATCTGTCAATCATTTGTTCCTGTTCATTGATGGTGCACTATTGTATGGCTATATTATTGGTTATTTATCCATTTACTAATAGTTGAAGAACACTTGGCTTTTTTCCGGTTTGGGGCTATTAAAAAGATGGTGAAATTTACAGCTGTGGGAGTTTTTCTTATTGCTCTCATCAGTTCTATCAATTTTTGATTTATGTATTTTAAAGTTCTGTTAATAGGTGCTCACTGCCAGGGATGTCAGGCTCTGTTCAGGAGGTTTTTATGGTGCTGAGTACTCTAAAGGGAAGGGTTTTGTTTGTTTCGAATCTTTTCTCTGAGTTTATCAGTTATGAATGTATCTATCTAGGATATCTTTAATTGCTTATTTTTAAAAATCTGACAGTTGCTAATTAATTTTTTATTAAGGTACTATTAATATACACTCTTATGAAGGTTTCACATGAAAAAACAATGTGATTACAACATTCACCCATATTATCGATCCCTGACCCCCCATACCCCATTGTAGTCTCTGTCCATTAGTGTAGTAAGATGCCACAGATTCACAATTTGCCTTCACTGTGCTACACTGTTTTCCCCGTGACACCCCCACACCATGTATACTAAACATAATACCCCTCAATCCCCTTCTCTCGCCTTCGCTCAGCCCTCCCCTTTGGTAACCACTAATCCCTTCTTGGAGTCTGTGAGTCTGCTGCTGTTTTTGTTCCTTCAGTTTTGCTTCATTGTTATACTCCACAAATGAGGGAAATCATTTGGTACTTGACTTTCTCCGCCTGGCTTATTTCACTGAGCATGATATCCTCCAGCTCCACCCATGTTGCAAATGGTAGGATTTGTTTGTTTCTTATGGCTGAGTACTATTCCATTGTGTACATGTACCACCTCTTTATCTGTTCATCTACTGATGGACACTTAGGTTGCTTCCATATCTTGGCTATTGTAAATAGTGCTGTGATAAACATGGGGTGCATATGTCCTTTTTAATCTGAGAAATTACAGTCTTTGGGTAAATTCCTAGGAGCGGAATTCCTGGGTCAAATGGTATTTCTATTTTCAGTTTTTTTGAGGAACCTCCATATTGCTTTCCACAATGGTTGAACTAGTTTACATTCCCACCAGCATTGTAGGAGGGTTCCCTTTTCTCCACATCCTTGCCTGTATTTGTTGTTCTTATTTCGATACTGGCCATCCTAAACTGGTGTGAGATAATATCTCATTGTGGTTTTATTTGCATTTCTCTGACAATTAGTGATGTGAAGCATCTTTTCATGTGCCTGTTGGCCATCTAAATTTCTTCTTTGGAGAATTGTCTGTTCATATCCTCTGCCCATTTTTTAATCGGGTTCTTTGCTTTTTGGGTTGATGCGTGTGAGTTCTTTATATACTTGGATATTAACCCCTTGTCGGATATGTCATTTACAAATATATTCTCCCATACTGTAGAATGCCTTTTTGTTCTGTTGATGGTGTCTTGCTGTACAGAAGCTTTCTTGTGGATGTAGTCCCATGTGTTCATTTTGCTTTTGTTTCCCTTGCTTGAGGAGATGCATTCAGAAAAAGTTGCTTGTGTTTATATTCAGGAGATTTTTGCCTATGTTGTCTTCTAAGAATTTTATGGTTTCATGACTTACATTCAGGTCTTTGATCCATTTCAAGTTTACCTTTGTATATGGGGATAGATAGTAATCCAGTTTCATTCTCTCACATGTAGCTGTCCAGTGTTGCCAACACCAGTTGTTGAAGAGGCTGTCATTTGTCCATTGTATGTCCATGGCTCCTTCATTGTATATTAATTGACCATATATGCTTGGGTTAATGTCTGGGCTCTCTAGTGTATTCCATTGGTCTATGGGTCTGTTCTTGTGCCAGTACCAAATTGTCTTGATTACTGTGGCTTTGTAGTAGAGCTTGAAGTCCAGGAGCATAATCCCCAGCTTTATTCTTCCTTCTCAGGATTGGTTTGGCTATTCAGGGTCTTTTGTGGTCCCATATGAATTTTAGAACTATGTGTTCTAGTTTGTTGAAGAATGCTGTTGGTATTTTGATAGGGATTGTGTTGAATCTGTAGATTGCTTTAGGCAGGATGGCCATTTTGACAATATTAATTCTTCTTACCTGAAGAACATGGGGTGAATTTCCATTTATTAGTGCCCTCTTTAATTTCTCTTAAGAGTGTCTTGTAGTTTTCAGGGTATAGGTCTTTCACTTCCTTGGTTAGGTTTATTCCTAGGTATTCTTTTTGATGCAATTGTAAATGGAATTGTTTTCCTGATTTCACTTTCTGCTAGTTCATCATTAGTGTATAGGAATTTGTATGCTGCAACTTTACTGAATTCAGATATTAGATCTAGTAGTCTTAGAGTGGATTTTTTTAGGGTTTTTTATGTACAATATCATGTCATCTGCAAACAGTGACAATTTAACTTCTTCCTTCCCAGTCTGGATGCCTTTTATTTCTTTGTATTGTCTGATTGCCATGGCTAGGACCTCCAGAACTATGTTGAATAAAAGTGGGGAGAGTTGGCATCCTTTTCTTGTTCCCGATCTTAAAGGAAAGGCTTTCAGCTTCTTGCTGTTAAGTATGATGTTGGCTGTGGGTTTGTCATATATGGCCTTTGTTATGTTGAGGTACTGGCCCTCTATACCCATTTTGTTGAGAGTTTCATCATAAATGGGTGTTTAATTTTGTTGAATGCTTTTTCATCTTCTATGGAGATGATCATGTGGTTTTTGTCCTTTTTGTTAAAGTGGTGGATGATGCTGATGGATTTTCGAATGTTGTACCATGCTTTCATCCCTGGAATAAATCCTACTTGATCATAATGGATGATCTTTTAGATGTATTTTTGAATTCAGTTTGCTAATATTTTGTTGAGTATTTTTGCATCTATGTTCATCAGGGATATTGGTCTGTAATTTTCTTTTTTTGTGGTGTCTTTGCCTGGTTTTGGTATTAAATTGATGCTGGCCTCGTAGAATGAATTTGGGAGTATTCCCTCCTCTTTCAGTTTTTGGAAAACTTTAAGGAGAATGGATATTATTAAGTCTTCAATAAATGTTTGATAAAATTCAGCAGTGAAACCATCTGGTACAGCCAGGGCTTTTGTTCTTAGGTAATTTTTTGATTACCAATTTAATTTCCTTGCTGGTAATTGGTCTATTCATATTTTCTGTTTTTTCCTGGGTCAGTTTTGGAAGGTTGTATTTTTCTAGAAGGTTGTCCATTTCTTCTAGGTTATCCAGTTGGTTGGCATATAATATTTCATAGTATTCTCTAAGAATTCTTTATATTTTTGTGGTGTCCATAGTGATTTTTCCATTCTCATTTCTGATTCTGTTTATGTGTATAGACTCTTTTTCTTGATAAGTCTGGCAAGGGGTTTATCTATTCTGTTTATTTTCTTGGAGAAGCAGATCCTGCTTTCTTTGATTCTTTCTATTGTTTTTTTTCTTCTTGATTTTATTTATTTCTGCTGTTATCTTTATTATGTCCCTCCTTCCACTGACTTTGGGCCTCATTTTTTGTTCCTTTTCTAGTTTCGTTGTGAGTTTAGACTGTTCATACGGGATTGTTCTTATTTCCTATGGTTGGCCTGTATTGCAGTATACTTCCCTCTTAGCACAGCCGTTGCCTTGTCCCACAGATTTTGTGGTGTTGAATTATTGTTGTCATTTGTCTCCATATATTGCTTGATCTCTGTTTTGGTCATTGATCCATTGATTGTTTATGTTATTGAGCCTCCGTGTGTTTGTGGGCTTTTTCTTTTTCTTTGTGTAATTTATTTCTAGTTTCATACCTTTGTGGTCTGGGAAGCTGGTTGGTATAATTTCAATCCTTCTGAATTTACTGAGGCTCTTTTTGTTGCCTAGTATGTGATCTATTCTTGAATATGTTCCGTGTGCACTTGAGAAGAATGTGTATACTGTTACTTTTAGATGGAGAGTTCTATAGATGTCCGTATGGTCCATCTGTTCTAATATGTTGTTCAGTGCCCCTCTCTTCTTATTTTCTGTCTGGTTGATCTGTCCTTTGGAGTGAGTGGTGTGTTGAAGTCTCCTAAAATGAATGCATTGCATTCTATTTCCCACTTTAATTCTGTTAGTATATGTTTCACATAAGTAGGTGATCCTGTGTTGAGTGCATAGTTACAATATTTATATTCTCTTGTTGGACTGACCTCTTTATCATTATGTAATGTCCTTCTTTATCTCTTGTTATTACTTTCTTTGTTCTGAAGGCTTATTTTGTCTGATACAAGTACTGCAACTCTTGCTTTTTTCTCCCTATTAGTTGCATGAAATATCTTTTTCCATGCCTTCCCTTTTAGTCTGTGTATGTCTTTGGGTTAGAAGTGAGTCTCTTGTATGCAGCATATAGACTGGTCTTTTTTTTTTTTTTAATCCATTCAGTGACTCTATGTCTTTTGATTAGTGCATTCAGACCATTTATATTTAGGTGATTATTGATAGGTATGTACTTATTGCCATTGCAGGCTTTAGGTTTGTGGTTAGCAAAGGTTCAAGGGTAATTCCCTTGCTATATAACAGTCTAATTTAACTCACTTAATATGCAATTATAAAAAGAATCTCAAGGTTTTTTTTCCCTCCTTTTTCTTCCTCCGTTGTTTATATATTAGATATCATATTCTGTACTCTTTGTCTATCCCTTGATTGACTTTGGGGGTAGTTGATTTGATTTTGCATCTGGTTAGTAACTAATTGTTCTTTCTTTCCTGTGATTTCATGTCCCCTGGTGACAGCTATTTAGCCTTAGGAATGCTTCCATCTACTGCAGTCACTCCAAAATGCACTGTAGAGGTGGTTTGTGGGAGGTAAATTCTCTAAGCTCTTTCTTATTTCAATATTGTTTAATCCCTCCTTCAAATTTAAATGATTATCTTACTAGGGAGAGTGTTCTTGGTTTGAGGACCTTGTGCTTCATTGCATTAAATATATCATGCCACTCCCTTCTGGTCTGTAAGGTTTTTGTTGAGATGTCTGATGCAAGCCTGATGGGTTTTCCTTTGTGATATTTTTTCTCTCTAGCTGCTTTTAAAAGTCTGTCCCTATCCTTCATCTTTGCCATTTTAATCATTATATGTCTTGATGTTGTCTTCCTTGGGTCCCTTGTGTTGGTAGATCTGTGCACCTGCATGGCCTGAGAGATGATCTCCTTCCCCAGATTGGAGATGTTTTCAGCAATTACCTTCTCAAAGACACTTTCTATCCTTTTTTGTCTCTATTCTTCTTCTGGTACCCCTCTAATAGAAATATTGTTCCTTTTGGATTTGTCACACAGTTCTGTCAATATTCTTTTATCCTTAGAGGTCCTTTTTACTCTCTGTGCCTCTTCTTCTTGGTATTCCTCTTCTCTAATTTCTGTTTCATTTATCATCTTGTCTACCGTATCCAATCTGCTTTTAAAACCCTCCTCTGTATTCTTTAATGATTGCTTCTCTGACCAGAATTCATTCCTGAGTTCTCGAATATTTTTCTGTACCTCCGTGAACATGTTTATGATTTTTATTTTGAAATCTCTTTCAGGAAGAATGATGAGATCTGTTTCATTTGACTCTTTTTCTGGTGTTTGTGTGATTTTGGTTTGAACCAGGTTTCTTTGTCAGTTCATGTTTGTATGTTGTGCCCTCTAGTGCCCACTAGCTCTACTCTCTGGAGCTGCTCAGCCCCTGTAGCATTGGCGGGGGTCTTTGGAGTGGTGTTGGTTCCTGGGGGGAGGAAAGAAGTGTTTCCTTCTTCCTGGATGCTATGCCTGTCTCCAGTGCCAGAACCAGTGGGGTGCACATACAGTTGTAATCCTCTATGGGGGCATTTGTAGTTGCTATAAGTTGGGCTTCCCTCTGCCTGGCGTGACGCCTGGGTAGGGGCTGCCTGTTTGTGAGCCAGGGGTGGACTGGCTGGGAGGAAGGTGCAACAGGCTGTGTGTTACGGTGCAGGGCCTTGGAGCTGCTTATCCAGCCAGGGAGATGGAGTGCCTGAAGCTCCTGAAAGTCCCTGACCTGCTGGGCAGAGTGCACCCAGACAATTTTGTCTACCTGTCCTTTCTCCTGAGCAGTAAGCTCTGTACAGTCCTTGCACCTTTAGTAGCCCTCTCACTGTTAGGAAGTCTCTCAGACTGCCCGCCTTTCTTTTCTCCCAGAGCAGCAGATGTGGATCCCTGTTTTCCATAAGCAGATGGAAACTCAGTCTCTCCAGGTATTCCTCCTGTCTTAGCTCTCCAACCCCACAGTCACCATAGCACCATGCAGTGTAGGTTCATGCTTCCAGAGCCCGATCTCCAGGGTTAGGTGTTCAGCTGTCCCAGGCCTACACTCCCTCCCTGTTCCGTTTCTCTTCCTCCCGCCAGTGATCTGGGGTGGGTGAAGGGCTTGGGTCCCACCAGGTCACAGTTTTGTACGTTACCCTGTTGCATGAGTTCCATTCTTTTCTCCAGGTGTATGCAGTCTGGTGCAACTTTCTTTCCTGTTGCTTTTTCAGGATTAATTGTATTAATTATATTTTCATATTATATGTGGTTTTAGGTAAAGGCCTCTGTCTCACCTCTCACTCTGCCATCTTTAATGTTCTCTCCTGCTAATGTAATTTTAATTATAGTCTAATGAAAATTTTTTTCCTATTCATATATATTGTGAATCATATTCATTCATTGAATTTGCAGGTGATGGAGATGTAATTGAACAAATTATAAGCCTGCAAACCAATGATAATGGTGAAGGAAGCCCAGAGTCCAGCGTTCTTGATGGGATGATACGACAATTGCAGCAGCAGCAAGATCAAAGAATGGGCGCCGGTGGGGACGGGTTTCCAGGCGGCCTTGCCAATGGGGAGGAAGCACCATGGAGAGGTAATACGTTTATGAGAAATACTTTGTCTTAATATGGCTGGATTGAAACGGAAGAGTTACAGTGGCCTTTGTCATATATATGTGGTGTGAAAAACTTTCACATAAGCAATGTATTTCTCCAACTTTGGTAGTTTGTAAATAGGTTTAGTAGGTGTAAAGTTGATGTACTGACCAATGGACATTGGATCCTTAAGTACATTGAAAAGCTCTTAAATTCTTTTTTGCTCTAAGAGTATAAGTGAGAGTAAAGAACAGTAAAGGAAAAGTACATTTCTGGGTTTCCCTTGCTTTAAATATTTATAATTTTTAAAAAACCTGAATTTGGTAGAGAGAGCACTAAAGTCGCTTACAGAAACAGAAGACTTGAAGGGAATTTTCAGAGGGAAGCACTGGAGTGTGGGAGTGATTACACTGGTAGGGAAATACTCTAGAGGAGACAGGCGATTGTTATGCAAAGCAAAACACACTGTGGGAAAGATAAATGCCTGTGCAAGATATTAGAGAAGCTTTGAGAGTTCATAAAACCCCAGCAGTGCCACCAAGGGGATCCTTGCCGTGTCACACCTGCAACTGGGTCATGAATTTCAGTACCTTTTTTTTTTAACCCAAGTGTTTCTTTTCTACCTCTCAGAGAATTTGCTTTTTTTTATGTTGTAGACCCTGAGATTTTTTATTGTAATGGCAACTAATGTGAAAATGATTCATTTCCCAAAAATCTACTTTGAATAAATTATGGCTAGAAATGGTATGGTTTTATTTGGAAACTGTTTAAAATATACTTGCTGAGTTAACTTTATTTCCTGTCTCTTTACTACTCATTGTTGAGCTCTGATTTTCTTCAGATCTTTGTGCCCTAACTCTTGATCTCTTGTCATGTAATCTGCCACATCACTCGTCTTTAGAGTTTAATTTTTATGTGTAATCTGACTTTAAAATTAGTGCCTTATGAAAATTCTTTTATATATTTAATTGGTTTGGGTTTTCAATGTACAGGATTGGGTCTGTCAATCCTTTGTTCATGACATACTCTTATCATTGGTTTACACATGCTCATTTTCTCCCCTCCTCTCCCTCTCATCCTACCCCTTGGTTCCAATCTAGTTTCCTGCAGGGATAGACAAGGTTTCTGGTTATCCCCTTAGGTTGATTAGAATTTTGTTTAGTGTACAGCACTGCAAGATTCTGATTTTTATGGGAGGGGTGGTAGGAGAAGGTTCTTTCTCATTTTGAACTGTGTCCCTGACAGGCCCCCAAGGCCTTACCTCCCTTTTCCTTGTGGGCATTAAAACTCAGGTCCTTGGATTACTGATTTGGAGAACTTTGTCAGGTTGCCACAGTTCTAGCTCATGCGTCATCTCTAAATCTGATTTCCTCTTTGTTTCTAGCCCAAAGTTCCACTATTCATTTAAAAGAGCATTAGTTACATTTTACAAGTCATTTATAGGTGTCTGTGAAGGAAGTTTTCAAGTTACATTACTAAAAACAAAGAGGAAACTACTACTACATTAATTTTCTTATTTCTAATGATACTTTTATCTGAACTATAGAGAATATTAGAAATATTTCTTGTTAAATGGTTATAAAAATCTTGTTTCATTTGTAGAGTCAGTTTCTTTCATTTTGCTTGGTTGATTTACCTTGGAGTGGCCAAGCTTTTAAATACCATTTAAACTAAAGGCAGATGAATTTAAACAGTTTTTTTTTTGGTAAAGTCACGCTGTGAATAGGTTAGGACTATTAAAAAAACTAGGAGTAACTGAGTTTTATTTTCTCTTATATTTATAACATACATCTTTATTTCTTAGTGTTTTATTTTGAAAAAAATTAATCCTGTAGTGAAGTTGTGGGAAGGCTACAACAGACCCCCTGTATGCCCTTCAGCCAAGAGCCATCATTTTGCTACATTTCCTGTGTGTGCACACAGATTCCTTGTCTCCTCCCCCTACCTTGGCTCCCATATTTTTTCTAGACTGTTTTAGATTAAGTTGGGGACATTATGACGTTTTATTTTATCTCTTAGTGCTTCTACCTTCATCTCCCAAGAACAGGAACACTCTCTGTGCACAGTCCTAATGCAGTAGCGACAGTTAGCAGGCTGCTGCATGATGTGGCACTACTGATGCCCGGACTTTTTTCTCGTTTCCCTCATGTCCCAGTGTTTTCCTCCTTCATGGCTTCTTTCAGTGTTAACATTTAATAAAGGCTTGCTTGTGGCATTTAATTGTTACATCTCTTTTAGTCTAGAACAGTTTCCTCATGGCATTGGTACTTTTGAGTTCAGGCCTGTTATTTCATGGAATTTCTGTCAATTTGTGTTTGTCTGATTATCTCATACCTGAATCCAGGGTAATCGTTTTACTCAGGAGCACCACTTAGTTGATGCTGCATCCTCAGTGCATCCGAGTGAGGGGCACAAGGTCTATATGCATTATTCTGTACCTTGCTTCTTTCCTTTAATAATAAATTCTAGAAATCACTTCATATCCATTCCTAGAACTCTCCTCCTCCTGTTTTGTAGCTTCATAGAAACCTGCTGTATGGAATAACCAGTCTTTGTAATTAATCTGTTTATGGCTATTTATTTCTCATACTTGCTCTTTCAAGTGACATTGTGATAAGTAATCCAGGTATGTTTTCATCAAATTGTTGGTAAATAGTACTGTAACTTTGACAATTAAATTTAGGATTTATTTTTAGTTCTCGATTAAAAATTGTTTCATATCAATATATTTAAATGTAAATGGGTTAATAATAGCTGGGCCATTTAATGTGATTTTAGTAGGTTGTATAGTGCAGACTGGTTCACATTTGATTGGTAAAGCAGTACATAGAAGAGCGCAGAGGTGGTGTTCGTTCATCTGTGGATTTAACTTTGCAAGGAAAGCCAGAATGTTGAGGTAGGATTTTTCCAGTTCCCTGCTGGAGCGAATAGCCCCCATTGTCTCTGTTGCATTGTAACAGGAGCCCCTTCATCCTGAGTTTTAAGAAACAATTTGCCTGGGACTTCTCCCTATCCCCCAGCTTCACAAGCTGGTTTCCACCCTGTAACTTCTGGCCCATGAGTGGTTGTCCTGCCTCCTCTTCTCGCCTGATCAGCTCTGCACAGCTCAGGGCTCACTGTTGTCTGCACTCACCTATCACTCACTTGCCCAGCTCCAATTGAAGCACTGCCATCAGTTCCCCATTGTGCATTTCTGTGAATTTTTAACATTCCCCTTGGCAGTTTGCTTGCCTGCATGGCCTGGATGATCTCTTGATGTCACAAGGAATGTTGTTGGAACCCTTGTTAAAAAGCTGGTGCAGTTTGAGGAGTCCATCTACAATGCTAATTTTTCCAACAAAGATAGGATTTCTGTATGCAGTTTTGAAGAAGACATGGTTTTTAGGACTGCAAATGTAATATCATAATGGAAAATGCACATTAAAAAGATTCAGAAAGTTTACTAAAAATGGAAATTGAAGCTGACGGGTAATGTTCTGTGTTCTACATTTTGATGTCAGTCACATTAAGATTCTTTTTTCCAAAGTTTTCTCAGTAGATCTTTATTTTTGGTATATATCTTACTAGGAGGAATGTGTACATCTATTGTGTGTTAAATACATATTAGGTGGAAATTTGTTTTGGAATAATTTCATGATAATTTCCCCCTAGGTTTTAGAAGACTAAGCTTAGACATCCAGTCCCCTCCAAATATTGGTCTACGTCGTAGTGGACAAGTTGAAGGTGTTCGTCAGATGCATCAGAATGCTCCACGTAGTCAGATTGCTACAGAACGAGACCTCCAGGCTTGGAAACGAAGAGTGGTTGTACCAGAGGTACCACTAGGCATATTTAGGTTTGTTTTAGGATATCTATTAATACTGTTTCTATCTATAAAATATATGGTTATTTATATATTTTTCAATCCATTAGGGGTATACATAGTCATATAAATATATTTTACAATGGGTGGGATTTTAAAAAATTATGGTAGGACAATGTCAAAGTTGTTTTCCAACTTTCTCTTAAATTTTTCATAAACAATCTTGTTTCATCTAGACAAATGCCTGCTCTTCTCCCTACAATATTATTTTGAAAGAAATCCCAGACATAATACAATTTTGTCCATCAGTATGTAGGTGTGTATTTCTAAAGGATAAGGAATTGTTTTAAAATATAACCACAATGCCATTACTATACCTTAACAAATTCCTCACCATAATTAAATATCCAGTCGATGTTTAAATTTCCAGTCGTCTCAAATGTGAATATTTTCAGCTTTTTGCAAGACTTTCATAAGTGGTATGAGTTTGTTGGAAGGCATAAATATCTATTTTCTTTATGTAGTGATAGCAGGCATTTATGCTCATAGCCTAGATTCATTAATACATTAAGGGTTAAGGGTTACAGAATGATGATATTTCAACTCTGAAGTCTTTATTTATTATCTTGGATACTTAAAAAAAAGAAAGTTACTCACATCTATTTGATTATCCAGTAGTAAAGAGAGATGCTGTATTTAGTAGTAAAGATAATAATGAAATAAAAGAGATGCTTGATTTACCTTCAAAATAGTTTTATTCCCTTCCATCCCCTGACAGTGACCAGTTTGTGTATGTGTTTTCCACTATAAGCACCACACTGTTGTGATTTAGCATTTTTGGTATCCTATTGATATTTAAATATTTCCATCTCTGTCCAGGAGGTGTCTGTTCAAGTTGGCATGACTATAGTAGCCTTTTGTAACATCCATGTTGTCAGGCATGGTGAGATGTCACAGGTTTATCTTGCAAATTCCTTGATCTCAACAGAATCAGTCTTTTAAGCAGCCCTGTTTTCTTTTAGTGGGAAGTGATAATTCATATTTACAGTCTGGGAAGTAGGATCTTCGAACTACTGAGTTGTAACATACTGATTTTTGAGTCATCAAAATGGAGGCAGCAAATACTGTTTTTCATTGATACTTAAAATTTTTCAGTATTTTGTCATTTTTATGTCTCATGATAGCTGCTACTTTGAAGGTAATTTTGTAAAAGTATTTCCTTCATGTGTTTAGAGCTTCAGGAATTTGTGGAGTAATATTGGGTAATGCTTATATATTGTACAGTGAATTTGAGGATGTTTATAAGTACACAATCAAAGAGTAAAAAGCAAAATATGGTACTAGGATGAGAAATACAGAAAAATTACCGCTGTGAATGTAGTATGCCATACTTAAGCCTTAAAATTGTGTGCGAGTTGCGTGATCATTAGAACTGAAAATGTCATTTCAGGTTACTTCTTATTGTTAAAACCAAGGGAAGAAACAATTATCAGGAGTTGAAGGCCTGAACAGTAGTTCTGTAAATAAGCATTTGTTCTCTTAACGTGGAAGGTGAAATAATTTAAGGCTGGAGTCATGGTTCCCAGTTAATCAGGGATACAGGCTCCTGTGTTTCTGATCTCCTGTCTTAGAGCATGGCTTTCAATCTTAAGGTCATCTCAAAGTCCAGAATAGCTGGACTTTATACAGTAGCCATCACGTGTCTGCATCTATGATGGAGGGTGAGATTTAGACCACAAGGAGGAAAGACAGAAGGCAAAAAGGACATTTCTAACTCAGAGAATGTCATTTAAGCAGCCTTAATATTAATAGTCTCATGTGGCATTTCTGCTCATAACTCATTGACCAGAATGTTGTGTGGCTACACTTTGCTACAGAGGAAGCTAGGTAATAACAGTTTCTGGTTAGGGCAGCAAAGCCCTTAGATAAAAATTTAGATGCTGTTCCTAAGGAAGAAAAGGAGAATGGATTTTGTGAGTCAGCTGGCTTTCTGCCACAATATAATTTTCCCACAGAAAAGTATAACCATATTCTCAAATACACATGAGATTTTCTGAATGAGATGCTGAGTGGTTGAGTGGTGGTCAGTGCCCCTAACAGCAATCTTTATAATGGGAAAGCAGTGGGGAATTTTACATGACTATTTGTTAGGGTATCATTTAATAAGGATCACAGGAAACTAATTTGTTTTCTGACTAAAAGTAGTATATGTCCATTGTGAAGGAAAAAATGTGAGAAGGTAATGATCCTACTCATGTGCAGAAAGATGAGTACAGAATGTTGCTTCCTGGGTGAGGCAGTTCTATTTGGGGCTAGAGATTAGGCATATTGCTTATCTTAATCCAGTAGCAGTAGAAATTGAAGAAGTTGCAGTATACACTCTGTTTTAGCTGACGATCTCATTGCACTTTGAAGCTGTGTACAGTTGAAGATATTTTTGAATGCCTAGAGTGTTCTTTTGCTTTATTATTGAAAATTATATGTAGTATTTCATTGTCAAAACAAAAGGAAGTGTACATGTAAGGGGTAGAAATTTCATTTGGCTGCAAGTGAAAAATGTCACATAGTTCCTTAAATACATATGAAAGTGTTGAAATTGACAACTTGCCATGGATTGAGTCTGATTTAGAACTCCTCTGTGGAGAGAATTTTCTAATGTAATCTGAGTGTGGGCTGTGATGTATGTACTTTGAGAAAAAAATGATTTCCTTAGAAATTAGTTTTTGTCCTTAAAGGATTTGTGCTTAAACTCATTTTGAGTGTCCAATTATATCGTGGAGAAGATGACAGTTTTCAGACTTCTCCAGTGGGGATTTAAAATGATCACAAAATGTAAAGTGATGAGTATTCAACAGTGNGCTGGGAGGAAGGTGCAACAGGCTGTGTGTTACGGTGCAGGGCCTTGGAGCTGCTTATCCAGCCAGGGAGATGGAGTGCCTGAAGCTCCTGAAAGTCCCTGACCTGCTGGGCAGAGTGCACCCAGACAATTTTGTCTACCTGTCCTTTCTCCTGAGCAGTAAGCTCTGTACAGTCCTTGCACCTTTAGTAGCCCTCTCACTGTTAGGAAGTCTCTCAGACTGCCCGCCTTTCTTTTCTCCCAGAGCAGCAGATGTGGATCCCTGTTTTCCATAAGCAGATGGAAACTCAGTCTCTCCAGGTATTCCTCCTGTCTTAGCTCTCCAACCCCACAGTCACCATAGCACCATGCAGTGTAGGTTCATGCTTCCAGAGCCCGATCTCCAGGGTTAGGTGTTCAGCTGTCCCAGGCCTACACTCCCTCCCTGTTCCGTTTCTCTTCCTCCCGCCAGTGATCTGGGGTGGGTGAAGGGCTTGGGTCCCACCAGGTCACAGTTTTGTACGTTACCCTGTTGCATGAGTTCCATTCTTTTCTCCAGGTGTATGCAGTCTGGTGCAACTTTCTTTCCTGTTGCTTTTTCAGGATTAATTGTATTAATTATATTTTCATATTATATGTGGTTTTAGGTAAAGGCCTCTGTCTCACCTCTCACTCTGCCATCTTTAATGTTCTCTCCTGCTAATGTAATTTTAATTATAGTCTAATGAAAATTTTTTTCCTATTCATATATATTGTGAATCATATTCATTCATTGAATTTGCAGGTGATGGAGATGTAATTGAACAAATTATAAGCCTGCAAACCAATGATAATGGTGAAGGAAGCCCAGAGTCCAGCGTTCTTGATGGGATGATACGACAATTGCAGCAGCAGCAAGATCAAAGAATGGGCGCCGGTGGGGACGGGTTTCCAGGCGGCCTTGCCAATGGGGAGGAAGCACCATGGAGAGGTAATACGTTTATGAGAAATACTTTGTCTTAATATGGCTGGATTGAAACGGAAGAGTTACAGTGGCCTTTGTCATATATATGTGGTGTGAAAAACTTTCACATAAGCAATGTATTTCTCCAACTTTGGTAGTTTGTAAATAGGTTTAGTAGGTGTAAAGTTGATGTACTGACCAATGGACATTGGATCCTTAAGTACATTGAAAAGCTCTTAAATTCTTTTTTGCTCTAAGAGTATAAGTGAGAGTAAAGAACAGTAAAGGAAAAGTACATTTCTGGGTTTCCCTTGCTTTAAATATTTATAATTTTTAAAAAACCTGAATTTGGTAGAGAGAGCACTAAAGTCGCTTACAGAAACAGAAGACTTGAAGGGAATTTTCAGAGGGAAGCACTGGAGTGTGGGAGTGATTACACTGGTAGGGAAATACTCTAGAGGAGACAGGCGATTGTTATGCAAAGCAAAACACACTGTGGGAAAGATAAATGCCTGTGCAAGATATTAGAGAAGCTTTGAGAGTTCATAAAACCCCAGCAGTGCCACCAAGGGGATCCTTGCCGTGTCACACCTGCAACTGGGTCATGAATTTCAGTACCTTTTTTTTTTAACCCAAGTGTTTCTTTTCTACCTCTCAGAGAATTTGCTTTTTTTTATGTTGTAGACCCTGAGATTTTTTATTGTAATGGCAACTAATGTGAAAATGATTCATTTCCCAAAAATCTACTTTGAATAAATTATGGCTAGAAATGGTATGGTTTTATTTGGAAACTGTTTAAAATATACTTGCTGAGTTAACTTTATTTCCTGTCTCTTTACTACTCATTGTTGAGCTCTGATTTTCTTCAGATCTTTGTGCCCTAACTCTTGATCTCTTGTCATGTAATCTGCCACATCACTCGTCTTTAGAGTTTAATTTTTATGTGTAATCTGACTTTAAAATTAGTGCCTTATGAAAATTCTTTTATATATTTAATTGGTTTGGGTTTTCAATGTACAGGATTGGGTCTGTCAATCCTTTGTTCATGACATACTCTTATCATTGGTTTACACATGCTCATTTTCTCCCCTCCTCTCCCTCTCATCCTACCCCTTGGTTCCAATCTAGTTTCCTGCAGGGATAGACAAGGTTTCTGGTTATCCCCTTAGGTTGATTAGAATTTTGTTTAGTGTACAGCACTGCAAGATTCTGATTTTTATGGGAGGGGTGGTAGGAGAAGGTTCTTTCTCATTT